CATACGCTCTATCGATCATATTGAGCACGCTAAGCCATAAATATAGCATACCAGAAAACTATGTATATATATAAGGAGGCACGCATTGAGGAATCGGAGAGCGGAGTTCGAATTCTATTGCATTCACTTATGTGCTTCTTCCTCTAGCTATGGGTAAATAGGCAGGAGACTATGGGTAAATAGGCAGGAGAAGGAGAAGGACAACTCAATGGGCACCTATGTGGCAACACGGTGCACCATGTCTCTGTATTTGGCTCTTCAAAAAGTGTGGTTGGTTCTGCACAAAGCCTTCACCACTATAATCAAATCATATGATCAGGTTGTCTTGCTGTCGGTCCCTGCTTGACTCTCATACGTCGAATACGAAGGGAGAGTCCAATACATATATAGAGGTTAAGGATTTGAAATAATTATAATTAAGTAATCGAGTCTAGAAACAAAGCTATATATTTGTCCTAGATTTGGGACTCATTAGCAGTGCGCATCCACTACTGAGAATTGAAACCCGAACACTTACGACATGAGGCAAATGTCATACCAACTATACCAACGAGCCTCGGTGACAAAGAGGTAACGAATTAGACTATATATAGCGCCGCGGGACTTATATATATATATAAATTCTTATATGTTGAGTGGAAGGCAATCTCCCTTAATTATTAAGCATTTCCTCCGCATTAGAAATGTCTTATAAACATTTTAAAATTAATTTTCTTTTTTATTTTTGCCGAATAATAGATTTTGTTTTTCTCTTTAGTCTTAATAATGTTAATTATAATTAGTCTTGTGTTAAGAGCTGTATTTTAATTGTCTGTTATATGATGATCGATATATGTGGATGAATTGCGTTTATTTGTTTTTTTTAGTAACAAGTTCACTTACAAGAGAGTAACTTGCGAGGAGACATTTGTCTTAAATGACATGAGATTGATTCCATCAAACGTGAGAACGCCAGAATTAAAAGCAGTTGCGTAACTCCACACAAAATAATACTTTACAACTTAGTCTATGCTGCTATTTACGCATAGGGGAGAAAAGATGAATTCATATCTTTGGCGCAACGGCATTAGCATATGAATGAACGTAACAAACTCGTCTGGAATTTGAACTCGGCTCTCTGATTCCTCACTCGAAGCCGCTATCCACTACTTCACACAAAAATCTGTCGGATAGATAAATAAATATCCATACTTCACACACACACACACACACACACACACACACACACACACACACACAGACAGACAGACAGACAGACACAGAGAAAGGTTTGGAAAGAAAAGCGGATGAATTTTTAATTATCAATCCGATAGACAGTTTTTTTTATTGGTTACTCGTATTTGGGTAGACGTTGCGTTTATTTATTAAACAGTATATTTATTTAGTTTTATCTACCGGTCTGAATATTCGAGAAATCTTATTAAAGAAAATATGTGCCAGTATTCGAACCTGGGAAGGGGAAACCGTTGTTAGATTCGACGTGCTTTAGACATCTCGGCCACGAAGAACTTCGATGATCAAGCAAAGCTGAATAGTGCCTTTAAACACAAATCATTCCCTGGGAAAGTGACTGAAGCCGAACTGACAGACCAGGACCAATAATGTTGCTGATTCTTCTTTAGATTTTATCAAGGAGGTCAAGGTAAATAGCAGGGGCACCGGACCATATATGGCAGTAATATTCTAAGCATGGACGAATGGTGGATTTATAGATATGTAAGATAGATTCTAGAGAGAAAAATTGTCTTGAACGACACAGTGAATCAACATTTTTAGCAACTGACCTAAGGACTCACTACAGTCTTTCCACTTCATATCTGCCGAGGACGTAGGCACGAGGAGCCGTAATGAGTCACTTTCTTGGAGGTTAGCATCATCCATACTGATAGAATGTAGAGAGGAGCCTCTTAGATGATTGATAGAGAGTTTAGTTTTGATTTATAGAATTTATTCCTATTCTTCTATACGCGATTCTATAAAAAAACAGCTGTAATATAAATTTATATCCAAATATATTGATGCACGGAGAGTCATGACTCATGTCTAATATTTCGCATTAGTGCTGACATTTAATTTAATTATTGCATTTTCGTTGTGTGTGGTGTGATGATTGACGTCTGCATGAATTACACAAGTTTCGATAGGTGACAACTGTCAGCTGGATGACGAATAGAGGCTCATGGGAAGCCAGCAAAAGAATGAAATTAAGAATGACGAAGAGATAAAGAGTTAATCATCTGGTAAATTATATAAAGTTAATATGAATAAAAGAAAAAGAATTAACGCAACAACAGAAACGAGAAATAACGAGACAGTAAATAATGGGCATCATCATTATCATCTTCATCATCATCGTCATCATCTTCATCGTCACGTAAACCACCACCACCACCACCATTATTATCATTCCTTTACAGACACTTGACCAGCTATCTCCATGTGTAGCAGAGCTTGTTGGTTGTATTTAATCAAACTTATTCGGATGAACATATACTGCCTAAATAAACGTAATATATATATATATATATATATATATATATATATATATCAAACTGGGACCATGTCTCACAAACTATCCCTCACCACCCTCTATGTCAACTTATATAAGCTTAATACTGCCCGTCAAAAGTGTAAATTTTAATTTCATTTTTCGTTTCACCTTTTGAAAGTAAAGTCCGAGGATCCAGAGAAGGATAAAATTCTCTGGTGAAATAAATTATTACAACCGAGCCTTAATGTGGTCTGTTTTTCTTTAAATTAAATTATTAGCTCTGAATTAACATTGAGCTCTTAGTATTTCATCCTCTTTGTAATTATCCATACAGATTACCAGGATTTTCGTTATATATATATATAGATAGATATATATATAGATGCACAGTTCTATGGGTAAAGAATATGTGATCGAGCGGCGCTATATTCATTACCACTTCGTCACCGAGGCCCTTTTGTACAGTTGGCATGGCGTTTGCCTCCTATCGTAACTGTTCGGGTTTCAATTCTCGGTAGTGGAATAACCTATCTGCCAATATTTCTGAGATGAGATATTATTTATTTATTGTCCTCATCTTTTTATTACAACGTTTCGGCCGTTTATTTTCCTTAACTGGGTATTGAACTCACACTCTTTGGGTCACTGTGCCATGTGTCCTTGATGACAACTTTGTATGAATTTCTAGATATTATAAACCTAATGTCTTCAGCAACCATTTTTACCAGTGCTCATATTGTAATTTTTTGCTGTCATCATTCCATGTTTTTACCACAGCTGATATTGCTACTTTGTTGTTATCATTGCTTTTTCTCTGGAACTCCTTATTACTGGTTCCCATATTGTATTCATTTCTATGGTTGGTCGGCTCAGGAGATTTTTGTGGCCTAGCATATGTGCTGATTCCTTAAGTTTTTTTCCAATGGTGTTCCTTGTCTATGATCTCAACCTGATCCCACAGAAGGTGGCGATATTCTTTCTCTCTCCATATGTGGTCAGCCACATGAAGAAGGCCGGAGCGTACAACAGCCGAAGCGTTGTAATAAATATGGCGACAAATATGAGGAAAATAGTCCGAATAATGTAAATAATGAACCTATCCCATCTAAACAATATTCAAATAATCCCAACCACTTCCAAAACCATTCCGTCCAGGGTATGACGATAAACTACATCCAACAAAAAGGCCTTTGATTAGGAGGTTTTCAAGAGTGTGGAACCACCATTTAATTACTAGTGTTCCAAGGTTCAACTTGATTCGGCGTGGTAGCACCTGTCAGGGACTCAGCTATGGGCAAATATGAAAGTGTAAAAATAGGTTTTAATACACGTAACACTTTTTTGGAAAAGAAAAATATTACCAACGATACAGTTGTTAAAATAAATATTACCAGCAACAAAAACTTTGTCGGCATTAAATAACCCATTGAGGTTGATATACCGTAAAACAAACTAAACCAAACAAAATCAAAACCATTATGGATATAATCAGATCTAGAAACACCGATAACAATAATATTTCATAAGCAGGCATATATATATATATATATATATATATATAAAAGGCAGGATGTGTGTGTGTGTGTAACGAATGCACGGCCGCAATCTTCGACGAATTTGCACCAAAATTTTCATGAACATACTCCAAGTTAGTGGAAATGCCAAGACCGACTTTGCATTTCCCAACTCCCATCGATAGTGAAAATAATTGATTTTTCATGCTTCTACGGCAGTTTTCATGTAGTTTGCGGCCATTTTCTACTGGCCAGAGTGAGAGCCTATAGCTGGCTGTCACGAATAGGCAGGAAGATTCTATTGGCAAGCGTGAGAGCCAACAGCTGACTGACACGAATGTTAACTAGCATGCTAGCATGCAAAAAAATCGATAGCTACATTGTTTACAAGTAGGAAAAATTTAAATCTGCATGGCACTTTACTCCAATTGGCTCATTCACTTGCTTAAACTCAACGTTGATTCTGATTCCGCAGACATTCGTTTTTCATTCGAATTTTCCAGTTACGAGTCCTTTTTTAAAGCTGATCGTTTTGTGTTCAATTCTTTTTTCGTAACAGATTTAATGTTTAGTATAGAGCTTAGAAAAAATTCGCAGTGTGAGATATGCAAGAAGTAAGGCATTTAGCAACATCAGCACGGCAAAGGACACTCCTTTAAATGCAAGGAAGGGCAAAAATATTGTAAGTCAAGTGATAGCGATTGCTGTATGAGTCGTAAGATTTTTGAATCAAACACGGGCAACGCCGGGCCATGCTGCTAGTATATATATATATATATATATATATATATATATATATATATATACAAATTCAACAAGCATTCTTTGCCAACTCGTTTCGTCCCTTATGTCTACCTTATTAAAGTCTCTCAGGGGAAGGAAACGCGTTGGTAAAGAAAAGTTCTTTTTCATATTTATTCATATTGTCTCTTTACAGATATATTCTATTGATATCCGAATTTTGCGCGCGCACACACACACATAGAGAAACTTAAAGCACCAGGTATTCCCAAGCAGTCACTCATCTAGGTGCTGACCAGATTCAACGTTGCTTAATTTCGGTGATCGTACGGGAATCGGTGTTTCAACGTGATATGGGTGTAAGCCATATGCATTAAACTCTATTTTAAAGTGGGAGGTATTGAAACATAACACTACCTACCTATATATATATATATATATATATATATATATATAGACTCTCACGTCGATTTTGATACATGAGGATCCCTCAAACTCATTCAATTTTTAAGTTTATTTCGTATGTCGGCCCGGCTTGTGACCTTCATACAATATTGTGCAACAGTGTGGATCTCGGGACTTAGCCACGGGAATAATTGTTGACGCTTTTCGCCGTTGTCTTGTGTCTCTCAGCCGGTCAATACGACTGGTTTAAAAAAAAATCTGATATCTCAAGTTATTTCTATCCAGGGAACTTTAGTATGAGGCACATTGACACCTGAGAGGTTACTCTTTACCTAGTCTTTATACCTGAGCTAGAACCGCCCAACAATCCTTTGTCCACTGTGAAGCTGGCTATGCATGAGGAACTTAGGTATTCTCTTATCCCTTGTCCGTGACGTATAGCTACAAAGGATTGTTGGGCGGTTGTATATATATATATATATATATATATATATATATATATATATATATATATATACTCAGCTTAAAAAAACCGCCCTATAGGACGGCATTAAAAGTAGCGCCTGTGGAGGGCTCTTGATTGGGCCTTCGGCTTGTTCAAGAGTTTGAAAGTACCTAAGTCTTTGCATATTCTCAGTATTGGAAGCTCTCCTGTCTGCAGTTTTATCTGGTTTTCATTTACACAGGACATTCTTTTCCTTACTGTTGCCTTGGCTCTTTTGATTGCAATCAGGTCTCCTGTCAGCGGAGATTCCCTTTTGTGTGTTTTCCTCTGGGTTCTTGATAGGCTCCACAGGCGGATATGCAATATAATTGGACCTGTTCTGGCATCTCGTCTACAGTCACTCTCTCACAGACGCGCCGTCACCTCTCTCTCTCTCTGTCTTTTTCACAAATACTTTCATGGCAATTGCTCCGAGGAGCTGCATTCGCTGGTTCCCAGACTTCATGAGTTCAAGCGCCCTACGAGGCTGGCATCCTGCTCTCACCCCTTCACTGTCGAAACTCCTAAATGTAGCCGTCTCTTCTACTCCAATAGCTTCATGTCTCGCACCTCTCGCCTGTGGAACTCCCTTCCCTATTCCATTTCCCCTGAGAGCTATAATCTCTAACTATTCAAATGTAATGTCAATCGACATCTCCAGTTGCCTTGATCTATCCTCTATCCTTCTCCTCATCCTTTCTTCTATCACTCCTATCTGATCTTGCTCCAAATCTTGTGTAACCCCTTGCGTTCTAGTGGCTTCTCGCCTTGCTTGGGGTGAAACGCTTAAAAACAAATGAAAAAATACTGCAGCCGTATGCGATAGGCAACAATAAACTACAGGACTCAAAACTGATCGCTACATTTAAGTATTGCATTAATATCTAAGCTTACCTTTTAAAAGTTCAACAATAATTCTTCTGCCGCCATTTAATTTAAAGACAATTTTATATACGTAAGTTCTTACTTTCCTTACAAACAATTATTTTTATTTCATGGGTGACTTTCGCTGGATTTCGCAATTAATTTTGATTAATCCCAAATTTATTTCTGGGTTATAAATTTTTTTATCGTACAAAAGGATTTGTCGCAAAAAATCACGTAAAAATTTGCCAAAAACAATGGCAGTAATGAAAACTTGGGAATGCAAAATTTCAGGATTGCGGTTCCGAATCTGTTCTGAAATGTTTATAATTTAGTCACGGAGCTGGCCCGATTCCAAATGGTATATGTTGGGCTACGGCCTCTAGGAGTAAAGTTAAAAAGTGTGACACACTGACATACGCATTTATTATATAGACTAGATATTATTATTATTATTATTATTATTATTATTTCCTTTGATTTCTGGTGTGTACACATTTTTTCCGGGTTCAGCCCAGAGACCTAAGGTCAGAAATGGCATCATGACATTTTACACTGACCAATTAAAAACATTTTACACAGATAAAGCCCTTCGTAAGGTGTGGGCTGTACTCGTGAAAACAATTATTATTATTATTATTATTATTATTATTTTATAATAATAATTATAAGACAACGTAGAAGATATAATTAATCTTAAGTGTCAGAAAAAAGCAGAAAGTATTGCATTAATATTTAAGCTTACCTTTTAAAAGTTAGACGATAATTCCTCCGCCGCCACTTCATTTAAAGGCAATTTGATGTATGTAGGTCCTTACTTTCTGTACAAACAGTTATTTTTATTTCATGGGTGACTTTCGCTGAATTTTGCAATTAATTTTGATTAATCCCAAATTTATTTCCAAATTATAAAAATTGTTATCTTAGAAAAAATTAGTCGCAAAATGTCACATAAAAAATCGCCGAAAACAATGGGAGTAATGAAAATTTGGAAATCCAAAATTTCAGGATTGCTTGTCCGGATCCGACCCGGAATGTTTTTAATTTGTTCATGGAGTCGGCCTGATTCCAAAATGGTATGATATATTGTACTACGGCTTCTAGGAGTAAAGTTGAAAAAGTGTGACACACTGACATTCGCATATACGGTGGTCTCTACTAAGTTTTTAGCTACACTTGATTACAGCAATTTTGGCTTGTTTAATAACGTCTCTTCTTTTGATTCAAACAATACTGTGTTAGTATCAAGCTACTCTCATCTATGAACGATAGTTGACTTATATCTTGCAATGAAAGTTCGTGTAAGTAAGGAAATTAGTGAATTTAAACGAGGGCAAATAATAGGATGGCATCAGTGTGGCAAGTCAAATAGGGAAAATGATAGGTTTTTCCAGGTTAATCATCAAACGGTTAATAATATTCTCAAGAAATTTAATGAAGAAGGCTATTGTCGTGCGAAACAACGTCCAGGAAGATCAAACATTGTGTCTGAGCTAATGAAAAGGGCACTGAATAGGGAAGTCATCAGAAACCGTCGTCAGAGCGTCAACGATGTCGCCAAAAGCATCGAAATGTCGCCATATGCGGTGAGAAAGACTCTGAGAGTTCTGGGCTATCAAAGAAGAGTTGCAAGAAAGAAACCCTTAATTTCAGAGGTTAACAGGAACCTTCGTATGAACTGGGCGAGAGAATTCGAGAGCAAAGATTATGAATTTTGGCAGTCTGTAATTTGGTCAGATGGAAGTAAATTCTGCCAATATTCTAATTCGAGATTGGTTTATGTTTGGAGAAAGAATGAGACTTGGAACACTGAATATCTGCAGGCGACCGTGAAACATGGAGGGATTGGAGTAATGGTGTGGGGTGTTTTCTGTTTTGGAGGGAAATCGGAGCTGATTCTTGTTGGCGAGCGGTTGAATGGTCCAAAATACTGTCAAATATTAGAGGAAGGAACACTCCCAGTATTTGAAATCATTCAGATTGACAAGAATGTTTGCCTTTTTCAAGAAGATGGAGCGTCATACGAGCAAAGTAGCAAAGGCCAGAAATCGCAAGAATTCAAGTCACTGCTATGGGTAGCCCAAATTCCTGACATGAATTCAATAGAGAATGTTTGGGAGAACCTTCATAGAAGACTTCGAGAGCATGCAATCAAAGTCACGTCAGTGGCAACCCTGGAAGAAGCATTCCTAAAGGAGTGGCAAAATATGAATCAAACGATTTTTGATAACTTGATCAAATCCATGAAAAATCGAATACAAGAACTGAAACTATCAAATGGAGGACCTACTCTATACTAGTTCCAAATACTGTTTATGTTGAATAGGGATTACGTAATTAAATTTTTAAATTGGATGTTGTTTATTTCTCCTTTACTCACTTTTCTTAGGTCACTGTACTGTACACACACACACACACACACACACACACACACACACACACACACACACACACACACACACACACATATATATATATATATATAAGAAATGGACAAAGTCGGACAATTTATTTATTAAAGACATTTTATGTTTAACGTTCTTTTTTTATAGATACAAGTATTTAAGTAAATGCTCTGTTTATAATAAACAGTAAAAAAAATATTCTATCCAGTCAAAGGACGAATGTCGATGAAAATTTTCATATTCAGGTCGGTAAATGTTATTTAATACTGTTTATTATAAACAGACTTAAATATTTATCTATAAAAAAGAACGTTAAACAAAAAAAGTTCTTTAATATATATATATATATATATATATATTATGAAATGGACAAAGTCCGACAATTATTTTAAGACATTTTTTTATGTTTATACATTCTTTGTATAGATACAAATATTTAAGTAAATGCTCTGTTTATAATAAACAGTATTAACAACATTTACCGACCTGAATGTCCGAGAAAATCATGGAAAATTGTAGTTTAAAAACAGTAAAATCGACCTTGCCAACCGAAACGCTCCTCTGTGGCTAAATCGGTAAAAGCACGTCAGGCTATATGACGGTTCCGTATAGGATGCAAGTTCGATTCCAGTTGGAGGACGCATATTTTCTATGAAAATTTCTTGGACATTCAGTTCAGTAAATGTCGTTAATACTGATTTTTTTAATAAAAAGAGCATTTACTTAAATATTTGTATCTATAAAAGAACAAAACATAAAAAATGTCTTAATATATATATATATATATATATATATATATATATATATGTATATTAAGACATTTTTTATTATTATATATATATATATATATATATATATATATATATATATATGTAACATAATGGATTAGCGCAGTGGAAGAATAAGATAGTAATGAGACGATACAAAGTATAGCAATGCTGAATTCAGTGAGACTATTGAAAAGTTTGCTACAAAATTAAGAAGGATTATTAGGAAACGCTGTTCTGATGATTCATATGACAATGAAATCTAGAAATAGTATTAATTACTTTTCTATGAATAAAGAAATAGTTTTACAAGTTGTATGACTATTAATTAAAATTAATGAGAAATCAATATAGGGTTCTAGAAATTCTATTTAACGAAAGAATTTCGTGTTTCAATAAATGGAATAGATGGCATTCGCTTTAAGGAGGAAAAAGA